CATAGATGGTTATCTTCTTCTTGAGATGATTTCGGGGACTTTAGTGTCCCCGCGGCCCGGTCCTCGACCAGGCCTCCACCCCCAGGAAGCAGCCCGTGACAGCTGACTAACACCCAGGTACCAATTTTACTGCTAGGTAACAGGGGCATAGGGTGAAAGAAACTCTGCCCATTGTTTCTCGCCGGCGCCTGGGATCGAACCCAGGACCACAGGATCACAAGTCCAGCGTGCTGTCCGCTCGGCCGACCGGCTCCTCGATGGAGTGAGAGAAAAAATATTGGAGTTGAAGGATATAATTCAGCTCAAAGTCCCAGATATTGTGGCATTAACAGAGACAAAACGCGAAGAAAATATTTTAAATGAGGTGGTATTCCCAAGGGGCTGCTCAGTTTGGAGACGTGACAGGAAAACTAGGAAGGGGGGAAGAGTGGCTGTGCTGGTGAAGGAAGACCTGAAGGTAAGAGGTAATACTTGAGCATGACCTGCATGAAGCCAGGCCGTCGCTCTACCGTCCAGCCCAAGTGGTTGATATGGGAGGGGAGGGGGGGAGTGTAAGAGTATTTCAGATTCTGTTTTCCAATATAAATCTAGTCTTTAGTTTTCCATAAAATGTTTTCCAATGTGAGTGAAAAATTGAGTGAGTTTTCCAAAGCACGTGTATATATCAAGAGTTTACGAAAGATAGTTTTCCATAGCAGGTTTACCAATGCAAGTATATAGATTTTAGTTTACAAATTTTGAGGATTTAAAAGAAATTAAAATTAATCATTTGTTACTGAATCGGTTTAAAAAAAAGTATTCCCATATACCCTTGCGTAGACTCGGCGAGTCTTTGCTCAAAGTGCTTTTAGCCGAGAATAAGCCACACATTACGCCGAGGACAATAAAGGCGTACACACTCATCCCTCGTACCTGCTATCACCCGCGAGAGGAAACTTTCAATTAAAAAAAATTCATGACGTTTTGAAACTTAAGGAAAATTTCCTGCCCACCTACCCTATCAGAGGACCCTTAACTTACTGTTTTGGAAAAACAAAATCCTAAATTTATTTTAAATTTTTTTTTCATTTTCAAATTACGTCCAGTTTCGGCCATACGAGCAAACGGCCAATTCAGCCGTAATTTGTAAGAGGGCGGGACCGTCCAGCCTCATGGCCGGCTGGTGGCGCCTCTCACATAGCAACCCGCCTTCACCTAGTTGTATCCTTCTAACAGAACCCGACTTAATCTAACATTCATTACCGACTTAGGAGGTCACACCAGTTTTGTGGGAGAGGGAAGGGTGGTGTCGGGTGCGGGCGGGGTGACCCGCATTATAAACATCTCCGCCAAGCTCTCTGTTAAATACCTTCCTCTGGGTAAAATGCCAAGCAGCTTACATTCATATTCTACGTAGCACCTTAACTTTTTATGGAGCGTACACAGGAATGTAACTTTGTAGTCTGTCAGCTCGAACGTTAAGTACATGTACTCGCCTAGTTGTGCTTGCTGGACATGTTGAGCTTTGGCTCTGTCCCGCCTCTCAACTGTCAATTAATTGGTGTACAGGTTCTTGAGCCTATCGGGATCTATCATATCTACATTTGAAACTGTGTATGGAGTCAGCCTCCACCATATCACTTCCTAGTGCATTCCATTTATTAAGTACTCTGTCAAAGACAAAATTATGTCTAATGTCTCTATGACTCATTTGGGTACTAAGTTTCCACCTATGTCCCCTTGTTCGCGTTCCACCCGTGCTAAATAGTTTGTCATTATCTACCCAATCAATTCCTTTGATAATTGAATAGGTGGTAATCATATCTCCCCTTACTCTTCTGTCTTCCAGTGTCGTAAGGTTTAATTCCAGTTGTCTTTCCTCGAAGCTCATACCCCTCAGCTCGGGGACCTCTGAACTTTTTCTAATTTCGTTTTCTGTTTGACTAGATGTGGACTCCACACTGGAGCCATATACTCCAGGATTGGTGTGATGTGAGGTATACAAAATTCTGAATGATTTCTTACACAAGTTTCTAAAGGCAGTGCACTCTTTCATATTCTGCTGATGATATCTTTTTGATGTGGACTTCAGGGGGACAGGTCAGACGGGATATCAACCCCCAGATCTTTTTCTCTTCCTAATTCCTAAAGGAATTCTCTCTACTGGTATCTTGTGTTATGTCCAACAAATGGCTGCTATAGTTAAACTCTAGTAGCCATTTGTTGGACCATTCCTTCAGTCTGTCCAGGTCATCTTGCAGTCTCTTGCTGTCCTCCTGTCTTAATACTTCTCATAATTTTAGCATCATCAGCAAACATTGAGAGGAATGAGGAACCTTCTGGAAAATCATTTACATATATAAGTATCAGGATAGGACCGAGTACAGAACCCTGTGGGACTCCGCTGGTGACATCACACCTTTCCGAGGTCTCACCCCTCACAGTAACTCTTATTCCTGTTGTTAGGTACTCCCTTATCCACTTGAGCACCTTACCTCTTTTGTGTCAAAAGCTTTCTGACAATCCAAGAAAATGCATTCTGCCCATTCTTCTCTTTCTTGCTTAATGCTTGTTGATCGATCACAGAATTCTATGAAACCTGTGAGGCACGATTTGCCATCCCTGAATCCATGCTAGTGTGTTTACAAAGTCCCTTCTCTCCAGATGTGCTACAACCTTTTTTTTCACTATCATTCTCCATCACCTTGCATGGTATACAAGCAAGAGACACCTGCCTGAAGTTTAGTGCCTCCTGTCCATCGCAATATATTGGGATCCTGTCCATTTTTGGATATTGGGTCTACATTAGCTGTCTTTCAACTTTCTGGTAGGTCTCCTGTGACTTGTTATACACCACAGAATGGCATACAAAGTGCTTCTGCCGAAGTGCTTTTAGCATCCTTGGTAAGATTCTGTCAGGGCTAACAGCCTTAGTCACGTCCAGTTCTAGCAGACAGCTCCTAGTTTCATCTCTGGTAATTTCAATATCTTCCAAGGTTGCCTGGTTTATTGCCACCTTTTAGTTCACGGAGTTCTCCTTACTCCATTGTGAAGACTTCCATGAATCTTTCGTTGAGTTCTTCCCACACCTCTATCATTATTCCCTGTGTACCCATCCTCTCCCTTTCACAGTTTCATCACCTCTTTCACTTTTGTTTTCATTCGTAGGCTGTCAGCCAGCCTGTATGGTAAGTGCATGACTGATGGTCTGAGCGTTCCCTCGTTAGAGTAAGAAGGCCAGAGGGAGGGAGGGAGAGGGAGACGGGTCGTTATCAGTACTCCACAACAATGCCTGTCAGCAGGATGGTGGAGAGCAAGCCTCTCACCAGCTGGTTGAGGCTCATCATAATGTTACCGCATGTAGCGGAGAGAGAACGAGGACGTGAGGCTAGATAAAGGCAGGTACATACATTTTTCCGGCACAAATGATTTTACAAATTCTATCCATAGTATTTTAGTTTACCAAAGTTTACAAATCAAGATACATTAGTTTTCCATAGTAAGATAATATTTCCATCACCAGCGTAATTCTTTCCCTACACCAAGTTTTGTAATTCTGTTTATGTACAAGTATTCTTTAATCAATTACTGAAAATCAGTTTTAAAAACATGTCTGCATATACTCACACAGTGTCTTTGCATTCTCCTACACGTCCATATTTGTTATACATCATTGTAGTAAATTCTTATATCGGTACCATTCATCATACTTCAAATTATGCATCTCACTAAAGACATGAGTCAAAGAACTACTATGATGCTCTCAAGAAAATCTACGGACTCGTTTAAGTCTATGGTACCCAAAAACGTCCGCTACATTTTTTTTTTATTAATACATGAGGTACATCTGCATTAGTGCAGCTGCCCTAGACTATATGAAGTGGAGTACAGTGTGTCAAAAAAGCTAGCTACGTGATGCTATAAAATCCCCATCACACATGATGGTTAGTCATACAGAGGCATGTGATAGGCAGTCTGCACTGGCAGACTCCGGAAGCATTTTGAGGATATCATCAACACAAGAGTGAATAAGGCAGCAGTGGTAATACAAGTCCCCATCTCGCAGGATGGTTAGTCATACAGGGCCATATATGTTTAGTAGCCGGCACTGGCAAATTTTGGGTACACTGTGAGGATATCTTCAAGAATACGAGAGTGAATAAAATAATTGCAAAGCTCCAGGTACCTCATGCCAACTGGTCTGAAAGGTCTAATAACTGGGCATTCAGTGATGTAGTGTGGGAGATCATGCCGCAGTTCCTGCTCACAGAGTTTGCACCTGGAGTGCTCAGGATTGGGAGATCCGTCACCTGCAGCCACCTGCCACAGGTAACGGTTATCTTGAGATGATTTCGGGGCTTTAGTGTCCCCGCGGCCCGGTCCTCGACCAGGCCTTCACCCCCAGGAAGCAGCCCGTGACAGCTGACTAACTCCCAGGTACCTATTTACTGCTAGGTAACAGGGGCATTCATGGTGAAATAAACTTTGCCCATTTGTTTCTGCCTCGTGCGGGAATCGAACCCGCGCCACAGAATTACGAGCCCTGCGCGCTATCCACCAGGCTACGAGGCCCCCACGGTAACCCAACCTGATCCTGGCAACCACTGTGTCGCACAGTCTGGTCGACGTTTTGTGCTGCCCATAGATATAGGTTTCAGATCTGAACAAATCATAGCTTTTTATACTAGTACTTTCAGGTCGTTGGGAATCAGTAATTTCTTTTCTATCAGACCTGAGTGCTTGGACCAATACAGTTTTGACAGCAGAGCTGGGGATACCTAGATCTAATTCAACTTCATCTTTGTTACACGCTAATTTGGCTGCAATGTCTGTCTCATTTTTTTTTTATTAACATATTAAGTACATCTGCATTTGTGCAGCTACCCTAGACTATATGAAGTGGAGTACAGTGTGTCAAAAAGAAGCTAACTAGGCTGTCTCAGATCCATTTAACTCAGCAAAAGTCAACAGGATTTGCACATCATCTTTCACAGCTCAACCCCAGGTGCACGCTCATAGTCCTAACCTGTCTTGGGTAGCTTGGTGGAGACGGGAGGTGTAGAGGTTGGTGGAGACGGGAGGTGTAGAGGCTGGTGGAGACGAGAGGTGTAGAGGTTGGTGGAGACGGGAGGTGTAGAGGCTGGTGGAGACGGGAGGTGTAGAGGTTGGTGGAGACGAGAGGTGTAGAGGCTGGTGGAGACGGGAGGTGTAGAGGTTGGTGGAGACGGGAGGTGGAGAGGTTGGTGGAGACGGGAGGTGTAGAGGTTGGTGGAGACGGGAGGTGTAGAGGTTGGTGGAGACGAGAGGTGTAGAGGCTGGTGGAGACGGGAGGTGTAGAGGTTGGTGGAGACGGGAGGTGGAGAGGTTGGTGGAGACGGGAGGTGTAGAGGTTGGTGGAGACGGGAGGTGGAGAGGTTGGTGGAGACGGGAGGTGGAGAGGTTGGTGGAGACGGGAGGTGTAGAGGTTGGTGGAGACGGGAGGTGTAGAGGCTGGTGGAGACGGGAGGTGTAGAGGTTGGTGGAGACGGGAGGTGTAGAGGTTGGTGGAGACGGGAGGTGTAGAGGCTGGTGGAGACGGGAGGTGGAGAGGTTGGTGGAGACGGGAGGTGTTGAGGTTGGTGGAGACGGGAGGTGTAGAGGTTGGTGGAGACGGGAGGTGGAGAGGTTGGTGGAGACGGGAGGTGTAGAGGTTGGTGGAGACGGGAGGTGGAGAGGTTGGTGGAGACGGGAGGTGGAGAGGCTGGTGGAGAGAGAAGGTGTAGAGGCTGGTGGAGAGAGAAGGTGTAGAGGCTGGTGGAGAGAGAGGTGTAGAGGCTGGTGGAGAGAGAAGGTGTAGAGGCTGGTGGAGAGAGAGAAGGTGTAGAGGCTGGTGGAGACGGTTGGTGGAGACGAGAGGTGTAGAGGTTGGTGGAGACGGGAGGTGGAGACGAGAGGTGTAGAGGCTGGTGGAGACGGGAGGTGTAGAGGCTGGTGGAGACGAGAGGTGTAGAGGTTGGTGGAGACGGGAGGTGTAGAGGCTGGTGGAGACGAGAGGTGTAGAGGCTGGTGGAGACGAGAGGTGTAGAGGTTGGTGGAGACGGGAGGTGTAGAGGCTGGTGGAGACGAGAGGTGTAGAGGCTGGTGGAGACGGGAGGTGTAGAGGTTGGTGGAGACGAGAGGTGTAGAGGCTGGTGGAGACGAGAGGTGTAGAGGTTGGTGGAGACGGGAGGTGTAGAGGCTGGTGGAGACGAGAGGTGTAGAGGCTGGTGGAGACGGGAGGTGTAGAGGTTGGTGGAGACGGGAGGTGGAGACGAGAGGTGTAGAGGTTGGTGGAGACGGGAGGTGTAGAGGCTGGTGGAGACGGGAGGTGTAGAGGGTGGTGTAGACGGGAGGTGTAGACGGGAGGTGACCTTGGGCGCCTGCATGTGGTGTGGACGGAGGGAGGTGTAGAGGGAGGTGTAGACGGGAGGTGACCTTGGACGCCTGCATGTGGTGTGGACGGAGGGAGGGAGGTGGAGACGGGAGGTGTAGACGGGAGGTGACCTTGGGCGCCTGCATGTGGTGTGGACGGAGGGAGGTGTAGAGGGAGGTGTAGACGGGAGGTGACCTTGGACGCCTGCATGTGGTGTGGACGGAGGGAGGTGTAGAGGGAGGTGTAGACGGGAGGTGACCTTGGGCGCCTGCATGTGGTGTGGACGGAGGGAGGTGTAGAGGGAGGTGTAGACGGGAGGTGACCTTGGATGCCTGCATGTGGTGTGGACGGAGGGAGGTGTAGAGGGAGGTGTAGACGGGAGGTGACCTTGGGCGCCTGCATGTGGTGTGGACGGAGGGAGGTGTAGAGGGAGGTGTAGACGGGAGGTGACCTTGGACGCCTGCATGTGGTGTGGACGGAGGGAGGTGTAGAGGGAGGTGTAGACGGGAGGTGACCTTGGGCGCCTGCATGTGGTGTGGACGGAGGGAGGTGTAGAGGGAGGTGTAGACGGGAGGTGACCTTGGGCGCCTGCATGTGGTGTGGACGGAGGGAGGGTGGTGTAGACGGGAGGTGACCTTGGACGCCTGCATGTGGTGTGGACGGAGGGAGGTGTAGACGGGAGGTGACCTTGGACGCCTGCATGTGGTGTGGACGGAGGGAGGGTGGTGGAGACGGGAGGTGACCTTGGGCGCGAGCAAGTGCCAGCTCATCTGCATGCGAGGCAGCGACAGTAAACACGCAGGAGAATGTGAGAGGCGGGTCAACGTTACCAGTGATGGGGGAGGTGCAGCCCTCGTCACGGCTGCCACCCGTCACCACACACGGCTCAGGGACGGCAGCCCACTTCGCCTCCATCATCCCTACACCTCCGCCAAACTCCTGCCCAATCTACCTTCCTACCATCAGGAAATTCAATGTTCGTAGACTGTTTTCAGGAGATGATGTGGTAACTCTTGCCTCTTCGTAAGAAGACACAGCTTTGCATCTTAAAACTGAGTCACAAAGCTTAGCAGGAGTTGGGTAGCCTAAGGAGGCGATACACCTGCGATACACATCCTGTAAGGTGTCTGAAAAACACAATCACCATTTACATCTTTCCAATTCATTTCCTTTTCTGTTTTATATAATTTTTGAATCAGGAATTATCACAGAGAAAGGCAACACAATGCTTATCATAAAATAAATATCAGTTGACTATGATAGCAGCTATGAACCTTCCTGGTAACAATAATATGTATACACACTCAGTAATCACACTAACGTGACTGCATCAGTGATAAAATCAGTAGGAGCAGTGATGAGGGTTCGAACCTATTCGGTAGGTGTTCCCACGCGCTAGCAAGTAGACCACTACATGGTATAAAGATTGCAACCTGGACTAGTACTGAACAAGGATTTCCTGAGGCTTCTACTGAAGCCGGAACAGGAACCGGCGGGAAAGTGAGGCAGGAGAGGGCCAGATGACGGCGCCAGAGTGCATGGCGGGAGTGTAAACATGTTGTCCCAGCTTCACTAACACTTATAACGGCAAGAACTTGGATGGTTTACGTCAGCATTACTGAAAGATGATTTTCCTCACCATCATCACTAGGAGAGTTTACCTCGGTACTACATATTCAGTTTACCTCAGCATTATATAGTTCACCTCAGCATTATAGTTTACCTCAGCATTATATAGTTTACCTCAGCATTATATAGTTCACCTCAGCATTATAGTTTACCTCAGCATTATATAGTTTACCTCAGCATTATATAGTTCACCTCAGCATTATAGTTTACCTCAGCATTATAGTTCACCTCAGCATTATATAGTTCACCTCAGCATTATATAGTTTACCTCAGCATTATATAGTTTACCTCAGCATTATATAGTTTACCTCAGCATTATATAGTTCACCTCAGCATTATATAGTTCACCTCAGCATTATATAGTTCACCTCAGCATTATATAGTTTACCTCAGCATTATATAGTTTACCTCAGCATTACAGAGAGACGGTTTATGTAAGTAGTGCAGTCGATATTACAGATGAGTTACCTCAGCATTACATAATGACTAAGATGATGAAATGTTAGGGTCCAACATAGTGCCATCACCAGCCATCCCATCCCGTGGTAATTGTAGTAGACATTACATCCCTTGTTGCATACTGTGGCTTGACATTATAATGGTACAACGGTTGTGGTGTATTGTGACTGTGTTATAATAGTACAATGACTGTATATCGTGACTCTACTGGCTATAATAGTACAACACTTGTAGCACATTATAGTTATTATTGTATAACGGTTGTTGTATATATTGTGATTGTAATTATTATAGTGCAACGGTTGTAGTATATTTGTGATAGTAATTGTTATAACAGTAGTACAACGGTTGTATATTGTGACTAGTTATTCTAGTACAATTATTCTAGTAAACAAATCAACAAGCGCGGTGACGAGGATTCGAACCTCCGTCCGAGAGCATCCCAGACGCTGCCTTATTCGACTGAGCTACGACATGGTCAAAAGGAGTTGAAACCGAAGTTCTACTGAACTTATTGGATCCTGCAGCCTCTCAGAGGCACAAACCAGGGTTTTACACAACTCCCCCCTGGACTCGAGCTATGTCAATAGTACACAACTCCCCCCTGGACTCGAGCTATGTCAATAGTACACAACTCCCCCCTGGACTCGAGCTATGTCAATAGTACACAACTCCCCCCTGGACTCGAGCTATGTCAATAGGCCGTTCTTCCTCTTCGCCTTACTTCATTACACACAAAAATCCCAATTGCGTGATGCATCAAATGATCAAATCCACAAGGGATTTGTTCAAATCCCTTGTGGATTGTTCATTTGATGCATCACGCAATTATGATTTCTGTGTGTAACTATTCTAGTATATTATCAATTTAGTGGGTATGACAGTAGTACTATGGTTGTAGTACATTGTGCTGGTACGTTATAATAGTACTATAATTGTTGTATATTGTGATTGTAATTAAAAAAAATTGTACAAAAGTTGTAGCTTAAAGATTGCAATTAGAGGGGTTATAAAATACAACAACTGTTGTTTAATGTGATTGTAGTAGATAACAACAGTACAACAGTTGTAGTACAATAAGTGTAGCAAATAACAGTACAACAGTTGTAGTACAATAAGTGTAGCAGATAACAACAGTACAACAGTTGTAGTACAATAAGTGTAGCAGATAACAACAGTTGTAGTACAATAAGTGTAGCAAATAACAACAGTACAACAGTTGTAGTACAATAAGTGTAGCAGATAACAACAGTTGCAGTACAATGATTCATGGTATAATGGCCTGCGCCTTTTATGTTAATCAAGAGAACAGTAATGATAGACACTTCAATCCTTGTAGCATTTGGTGCGGCCTATAATTATCGGAAATGGGACAACCTACGCAGGGTGACTCATCACTTACCTATTAAATAAATAGGTAATGAAGTAACCAGCTAGGCGGGAATGTTTGTAAAAATTACATGGGAACGGAGCCGGTGTTGGCATTTGGAGCTTCCCAGCGACGGGACTGACATTTGCGTTACTGGAGATTAGCACAAAAATAATTAAACCTAAAGGTCTTGCTATGAAACATGTGGGGGAGCCGTGAGAGAGTTGTACTGGTGGACATGCCAGTAACACACACACACACACAGACACACACAGACACACACAGACACACAGACACACAGACACACACACACACACACACACACACACACACACACACACACACACACACACACACACACACACACACACACACACACAGCTGGGGAGCGAAGCTGGTAGACGTTATTGACAGGAATTTCCTAACACAGCATGTGAAAGAAGATACTAGGGAAAGAGGAGGGGATACGCCCAGCCTATTAGATCTCATTTTCACCCAGAATGTAGAAGACATCGAGCAGTTGGAACATGAAATACCACTAGGAGCTAGTGACCATTATGTCCTAGTCTTTGACTACATGATGGAGCTTAAAATTGTGACCAAAGGACAAGAGGTCTGGGAAAGGAGACTTGATTACAGAAAAGGGGACTACAGAAGGATAAGGGACTACCTGGGAGAAGTGCAGTGGGAGGAAGAACTTAGAGGAAAAACAGTGAAAGGTATGATGAACCAAGTCATATTGAAATGCAAGGAGGCCGAAGAGAGATTTATTCCAACAATAAAGGAAAAAAGCAGGAGGGAATATAATAACCCATGGTTTAATAGACAGTGTCAGGAAGCAAAGGTGAGAAGCAGGAGGGAGTGGAGGAAGTACAGAAGACAAAGGACAGAGGACAACAGGATTAGATGTAACAGAGCTAGGAATGATTACATTAACATAAGACGAGTGTCGGAAAGAAATTATGAGAATGATATTGCAGTCAAAGCGAAAAAGCAACCTAAATTACTACATAGCCATATAAGAAGGAAGATGTCGGTAAATGACCAAGTGACAAGACTGAGGAAAACAGAAGGGGCATATACAGAAAGCGACCAGGAAATCTGCGAGGTACTGAATGCAAAATTCCATGGAGTGTTCACAACCGAGCCTGAGCAGCTCCCATTGTTAGAAGAGATTACCCAAGATGAAAGACTATCTGATATAGAGGTGACAGCAGAGGATGTAATGAAACAGTTGACAACACTGGATGCAAATAAAGCTGTTGGACCAGACAAAGTATCACCGTGGATACTTAAAGAGGCAGCGCAGGCTCTCAGCGTGCCTCTGGCAATGATCTTTAATGAGTCACTTATGTCGGGAGAATTGCCCAGTTGCTGGAAGGAGGCAAATGTACCGATTTTCAAAAAAGGTGATAGGGAGGAGGCACTTAACTACAGACCCGTATCATTGACAAGCATCCCCTGCAAAATACTTGAAAGAATAATTAGGCTAAGACTTGTTGAGCACCTGGAGAGCATTGGGTTTGTAAACAAGCACCAACATGGGTTCTGGACAA